GGGTTCCCAGATGTATGTGAGCGGAGCTACAGTAGGCGGAGCGAGACATGCATCTGGCTGTTGTCAGGTTACAGCAGTCCTGCAAAAATACTGAAAACTGGTTCAAACGTTCCTCTAGCAGCACTGAAAGTACAGCCATGGTATATCCATGTCTGAAAATGAAGACAAATTTAGATTCATACTGGTGTGTTACATTGCGTCGGTCTTCCACAAAATATTCCAAGCTTTGTGGTTAAATGAGAAGAAGGTGTAAAAGTCAGGGGAGCCAAAAACTTAACCTTTGGGCAAGTCCAAAACCAACATTTCCCATATCCCTGAACGCACCATTCACATATGGCTAAATGTAGAGTCCAAGGGGTTTGAATACTTTTGTGAGGCATGGAAAGACATGAAGATAGATCAAATTATACTAAAGGAATGAAGTCCCGTATTTTGGTGTCTAAAAACAAAACTTTTGTAGGATGTAATTTCAATGCTAACGTAGCTAAAATCCAACCTTTTTTTTCTATGCTTTAACTTTCTTCCAGAATTCCATCCGACACAATCTGTCCCTCCACAGCCGGTTTGTGAAAGTCCAAAATGAAGGAACCGGCAAAAGCTCTTGGTGGATGGTCAACCCAGAAGGCGGTAAAGGGGGCAAAGCTCCGCGTCGCCGGGCCGTTTCGATGGACAACAGTAAATACATCAAAGGGGCGAGAGGACGGGCCACCAAGAAGAAAGCCTCTCTGCAGGCTGCACAGGACGGCAGCTCTGAAAGCTCCTCCAGCCTCTCCAAATGGACCGGGAGTCCCACGTCCCGCAGCAGTGACGAGCTGGACGCCTGGACAGACTTCCGCTCTCGGACCAATTCCAACGCCAGCACGCTCAGCGGTCGTCTTTCCCCAATCCTGGCTAACCTGGAGCTGGATGAGGTGCCTGATGATGATTCCCCCCTCTCCCCTATGCTGTACTCCAGTCCCAGCAGCATGTCCCCGTCCACAGGACCCACAGGACTCTCCGACCTGGCCGGTACAATGAACTTGAACGACGGGCTGTCTGACAACCTGATGGATGACCTTTTAGACAACATCAGCCTGACGGCAACTCAGCAGCCTCCTCCTGGTGAGGAAGACCCTGGAGCCATCAGTCAGGGAGGCTCGGTGTTTACCTTCAGCTGCTCCGGAAGCGGACTGGGCAGTCCCTCTGGAAGCTTCGGGCCAAACCCTCTCTTTAGCCCCACCTCCATCACAAGCCTGAGGCAGTCACCTATGCAGACCATCCAGGAGAACAAGCAGACAACCTTCACTTCCATCTCGCATTTTGGTGACCACCAGACCCTGCAGGACCTGCTGAGCCTGGACTCCCACAGCCACAACAACGTCATGCTCACCCAGTCCGATCCTCTGATGTCGCAGGCCAGTACCGCCATCGCCCTGCAGAACTCTCGCCGAAACGCTATGCTGCTCCGCAAAGACCCTGTGATGGCGAATCCGAGTGGTGGAAGTCCGGCTGAAAGCGCTTCAGTGCCTGGTTGGCAAGCTGGCTTGTCAACCCCTGACAATGACGGAGGCGGCCACAGGGACGCCAAGCCAACGCACCTGAAGCCCTCTGGCAAAAACGCCTCTATGCAGGACCGCTTCTCCGGGGATCTGGACCTGGACGTGTTTAACGGCAGCCTGGAGTGTGACATGGACTCGATCATCCGCAACGAGCTGATGGAAGCAGACTGCCTGGACCTGAGCTTCGACGCGCGCCTCGACTCCACATCCACCCAGAACGCCAACAGGAACTCGGGAAGCTTCTCCGGCTCCAAACAGACGTCCCCTCAGAGCTGGGTGCCCAGCTGAGGCGCAGCGGGAGCTCGACCGGCACATGTGTACATTTGGGTTCTTTGTCCTGCATTGTGCGCCCAAAGGGAGAAAGTGTATTTATGTAGTATTTTCTTCCAATGTTTTTAATGTGAGGCATTTAGTGCTGTGCTATAGTTGAAGTGTCAGGGACACACAGCGGTGTCTCAGACATACGGCAGTGTCTTCGCAGCAAAGACAACAAAAACCAGATCAATGCCAGGACGATGGGAGGAACATCGTTGATTTAAAACTTCACGGAAAGCATCAACTCATGTTAGTCTCAGGGAATCACTCATATCACCAAGTGATGGGTGAAACCGAAGATGAATTGTGTTTTCCACCTGCTTTCTCTCCTCTTTCACCACCTTACAT